TGCGTAATTGTTAAGACGTTTGGTATATTTGTAGTGACATAGCCGCTACAGAGGAACTCATAAATGGCATCTGTCTGTTGAGTGAATGAGTGACCGGACTAAATGGACTGCTTTTAAAAATTAGTCAGTTTGCCGTGGAAACGAGGACGCCTAATAAATGGCAGCGCACCAACTAAGACAAAACCTACGAACGGCATTAACTTGAGTCAGCATCTTTATGCTTATAGAAATCAGCGCTATCAAGATTTTAACAACGAGTGGCTGGCACATAAAATATGTTATTTGATTGCGTTACGTTGGTGTGTGTATTGATTATTTGTCCTATTTGTTCAACCACTACCAGGTATGCCCCTTGTATAATTCAAGCAAACATTTAGAGTTTTAATTAAATGCTGAAGGCTGTTGAAGTCCTTAAACAAATGTTATAATTATCATAGACTGGGGGGACTTGCACACGAGTCTGTAGATTCTGAACGTTGGGTCGCTGGCATTAATAAACCTGAATGAGCGTGTTTTGTTATTAAGCTCGAACAACATGACCTTTGAGTCTGTTGGCAGCTTTTCAAAAGAAGTGTGCGCTCAGTTGTCTTGTCGTGCCTGTCAGTAAAATGGTCGAAGATTTTTGATTAGCGTGTTCTTTTACTAGTCGAAGTTGTTACTTTTAGTATAAAAAAGAGATATGAGATATAGGTTTCGAATTAGTTCATGGTAGAACATAGGTATTGCACGACTGCATAGATAGTCGCATGCGTGCGACGTACAGCTAACAAAAAGCTTTTTGTTAGCTGTAGATAACAGCTATATTGTTTGGTTATCAGGGTATGTAAAAAACACGCGATTTATTCTCGGTGGGGTCGAGAAGCAAATTTGCTTCTGACCGTCAGTGAGCCAATTGTATGGACTGCCAGTTTCGTGCCACTCAAATTGCATAATTGGTCATCCGCTGTAATTCTGCCTTTAATAAAAGTTGGGTTTTTGAACGCATTTTGCAATTACCGTGACTACCAAAGTCTCAGCAGTTTAGCTTTGCTTTTTGTCTGTCTGCTTTATGTATGTACAGTAGAACTGTGCAGCTTTATTTTTCAATACCTGCACTTTCTTCTGCAGTTACCGTGGAAGGCAGATAGACGAAGAAATGACGGCCGATTCCCAAGATGCAGAGTCAGGTCCTAAGAAGTTTAGGCTTCTTGTAAAAAACATGAACGTCAACACCAAAGTCGTAAGTATGATCTCTTAATATTTATCTTAAGTTTTAGAGTGAAATAAAGAGGTTTTTCCTTCCCATCAGAATAAAGGACGCTAAAATCCTTAAACGCGGTTTGTGTTGACGTTGGTTATTGATTTTTGTTGTAGGTGTAGCCGTTGCCTATTTCAAGACACAAAAAGACTTGGAGGAGGCCCTTTCAAAACGTGGCGATATTCATGGATCTGCAGTGTCTTTACAGTCCTATGAAAATGATTTGTTTATAAATGAGGTCAAACCATGTGATGCTAAGAGAGTGTGGGCAACTCCACCTACAGATCAACTTATCTCGGAGATCAAAGAGGTATTCCCTTGTATATATACTCATTTGTGAAGAATGGCAGATTATTCGTTCGTAATCTTAGTTATGATTGCACAGAAGAAGACATAATCAGTCTGTTTTCGCCTTATGGTATGTCTTATTGCAACCAATCTTAAGTGTAATCCTTAAGGAACTGTGAGCGATGTTCATTTGAGCTACGACACTAAACTTAACAAAAGCAAGGGATTTGCCTTTATCACTTTCCTCTTCCCCGCCGATGCCGTTTCCGCCTATCAAAAGCTGGACAAGCAGAAATTTAAGGTTAGTTTATGTTTATTTTCTCATTTATTCGGTTTTCTTATTTAATAGTTTGGTCGATTTATTCGCCACCTTTTTAGTTTGGCGATTCGATATTCATATTTTATAAGTTTGCTTTACGAATTACATTTACTAATTCAGGGCCGTCTACTCCATATATTACCGGGCAAAGACCGCCCAGTTGAAGAGAACAAGCCAAAACACCCAAGTGCCTCAGTGACAACTGAAAATTTATCTACGGCAGATGCGGTCAATGCGGATGGCGAGGAAGAAAATGATGTTTCCACCGCTGCCGGTCAGTCGGAGTTTCAGCGGAAGAAACTTGCTGATCTAAAAGCTACGGCCTCTGTAAGCCACAACTGGAATACCCTTTTCATCAACCCAGACGCTGTTTCTGAGTATTTGGCCGCAAAGTTTGGCGTTAGTAAGGTGAGTGTTTGTACGCTTCTCATCCAGCCGCATAATATCAACGACGTAGGCAAAGCCCATGTTGGTGGTCGTGTAAAAGTTCATTTTCATTTCTTTTATCGTTCTCACTATTTGGTAAAGAATTTATGTTGCCTAAAATATTCCGTCCATTTGCTCCCTAAAGTAAGCTCACGCCAGTCATTGGTTTCTTACAATCATGCCTTTAATCGTTACTAGCTACAGCTTTGTGATTCCCTCCTTTTGGTACTTTCCATACATCCATTTGCCACCAACTTTTTATATTG